CGACCCCTTCTGGGCGCCTGGCCAACAGTTTCTCGGTAAAATAGTCGACGATCTCCGGAAAGTGCCAGCAGGCGACAGCAAGAACCTAAATCTCATGACCGGCAAATTGCTTGTGTCGCCTCCTGTTGCTTTCTTGCTTGCTTAGCTCCCACAGGTATCGTACTACGGGAAACCATTGCCGTGAGAATTAATCGCACGATAGCCCTCTAAGGGGAAACATGTCTCCTTCGTTCGCTAGGGATTGGGCAAATCAAGCCAGGTTCTATTAATTGGCCCTATTGAGCGATCCAACTGATTTGATACCTCCTTGCTTGTGAGTAATGCGACGTTTACCCCTGACAGAGATGAATTTGGCGACGTACTCGTTAGATTTGTCATTTGAGCATAGTCCAACACTGACTTTAACGCTTTCAGCGGTCAGAGCTCGACGTTGACGAGTGAAAGATGGTCGACGGTTCCAAAACCGTTTCTAAGACTCCTCCCCTCGGCCGCATGCAAACATTCTTTACCACTCAGCTTGTCAGTCGTCACTCAATGCTGCGTGCTAGGTATACCAACACTCAAGGATGTTGGGCCCAGCGCATTACAACTGATGTGGCTGGCTCGTTGCAGTACGAGGAGCACACAGACATTGCGCTCAACCAAGTCAGACTTCTAGGGCCCGTTAGGCGCTCTTTAATTTCCGTTGACCTAGATTGAGACTGTTAAGGAAGAAATGTTTCTTCCATCTCACGTCGGCACATTTTCGGTTCCTTACACAGATTCCACGACCTCGTCAATGCGGGTGATCTTTGTTGTCAGCTGTGTCATCAAGCATGCGAAGTATTCATTTTTGGTAGCAAGCTGTTTCACAAAGCCGCTTCAGGACACGAAGAAGTATTCGGATATTTGCAAAGGATTTCCATAACCATTATAATTTGCAGTAGTTCGAGAAACTGGCTCATAGACCGGTCCTTTGCCAAGGGATGTGTTGCGAGAAACTGTAGTTGATGTTGGCAAATCATAAGCAATAGTGCGTGCGTAAAAGTTGAGTCGATATCGTATTCCAGTTTAGCAAGGTACGCTTCGACAAAATAGCCATCGACCATGATAAAGCGAGTCTCCTCAAAGGGCAGGTGGAAGTTACTTTACTAGGTATAAGTTCTTGACATTTCCACTCCATGCTCGCCTAGGGCTCTCTTCATGACATCTACCTGGATACCAGTCAGAGACGTTTCTATCGAGCAGATAGATGACTCACCTGTATGTAGATGTAGCCCCCGTTTGGCCCATCAACCTATCTACAGACCCACCCATTCGGACCTGGATGGTAGCTCTAGTGTATGTTTGACTGGATACCGCACCGTACCGGTACTCGATGTTGCTGAAAGTCTTATTCCCTGGCCCCAAATGATAATGGTGTCTGACAGCAGGAACAACATCCACGGATCCCTCTGGTGCCAGGAATTCAATGCCAGTATATTCATATCTAGACACGAGACCCGTTGGATGGTTGATGATGGCTAGCAGGATAGTAGCCAAATCTAGTCTTCTGACCATTGGCACCAACAATCGCGTGGACCTGGGTCTTCTTATTAACGGTGATAGAGATCTGGCTCATGTCGGGCAGTATTAGCAGAATCTGGGAACCAGGCATGTATTTAAACCTGATTTGCTGGCCCCAAGAAACTTGAATGTGGCGTGAGTGAAGATTTCATAAGCCCGGACCTGCTTCTTCACCTACCACGTACCCATAAGACATAAAGTTGCCGTAAAGATCATCTCTCTCGGCAGGCTTACCAGTTGCGTCGAAATAAACAGATGATCCATTTGGGGTAGACAGTACGTAACTATAGTACCATTGGTGGCCAGAAGGTAGGCGCTTTGAAGGAATGACTTGTTGGAAATTTGGCCTTAATTGTTCATGTATCGTAAACCTGACCTATAACTCTTACTTTCAACCCAGTCTAGGTCGATTGCATAGGTGCGCCTATCAAAACTGACACTTGTCCCATTCAAGACGAAGGGCGAATCAAGGCCCCAATTCTTGGGCCGTCCAAATGTTCCACGAAAGCCAGCACTGTAGAATAGGTTCAGGTTCAAGTCAATGCTGGGTTTGATGCGATGCATTTTTACAAGAGATGCAATTACATTCAAAGAGCCATTGTTAGAGTTGACAGATTTTGTCTTTGCTAAAATGCGGGTGAACGCGTGGGAGCCCTGGAATTGACCACTGTGAGGCGTGTTGACTTGATGTTCCTCGTAGTAAAGAGTGAAAAAGTTCAAAGAGTGGGTTAAAGATAAGCTTGATGTCCTGGCTGCGGATGGTGATGCTGAGGGCAGTCCCGAGAGATGTGAATGGATAGTGGGTTTGTATCTGAGAAGTTGCGCAGGTAGAATGTGTGTGACATATCACCAGTTCCTAAACTGTCTGGGTCTTAACTCGTTATCATCTTTATGGTGCCCTGACGCTTGAAATCGTGATAAAAGGGTGCTTGTTCTTCAACTCGGAACACAACCATATTCTTTTTTATACTTATTGCGAAGCACACTAAGTCTCAGGCTAAATTTCCACAACCTCCTTTCGATCGTCAAATTCCCTGGACCGACATGCATTTCACTTCACATTCAGCCCTGGTTCTGGGCGTTACCTGTGTTGGAGTCGCATATTGTGACAAATGAGGTGACGGCCGTCTTTTCACTATCTTCTTCAATGTAGTATTATCAGTCACTAACCTAGCATATCTAGTCGCCAATGTCAAACCCTATGTCTGGCTGGCTGTCGAGCCCGTTTGTCCTTTCATGGTGCATTGGAAAGTCAGAGGCGCTGGTGTATCCTGTACAAAAGGTTCGGTGACGATGCGGACAGGAAGGTCGAGAGTTCCGGTCTTACCTTTGCTACTCTGGGCACTGTTGGAATAGACGATGACGGATGGTTTTAATGGCGAGGAAGCCAATGGGGCATGTCGTATACTACCACTGTTTCCGACGGCGAAACCAATTACTCAGCATCTGCTCAAACTAAATGGGGAAGTGGACCTTTCAACTTACTTATCGACCTCGATAGTTCGAGCCCCGGGATCAAGATCTGTGACAGCCAAGCTCTTTATTCGAGTAAGAGAGTCGAATGGAGCAATGGCAGAAGAGGCGAGATCTATGTAAATCGCCTGATGTGAACAAGCATTATAGGTCTCTCCACTGACTACAGAACTTTAGATGACCTTTAAATCCTGGCTCGGTACAGCTAGGCTTTGACCAAAACGATTTGTAGGAGAGAGAATCTTGGGGACTGATGCGATGGCAAAGCTGATCTGTTCTTGGCAGATAGCGTATAATAATTGGAATTGTGAACGAGGGATGATTATGCACATTTCTGTTGCGTTATCTAGAGCTCTCCCGAAGGTATATTGTCGCTCCTGGTGCTTATGTCATAAGCTCAACTAGCCACCTTGCTGTTCTATGTTTGTGATGAACATAAAATAAGGGTAGGATCCGTGACATTGATCCTGGTCAAGTAAGAAATATACCTTGTAGACTGTTATTCGAAACCTTGTTGTATCTCTTCCAGATTTGGCTAGATTGGCTATCTCTGTCGTTTAGCATGCGAAGATCTAAAACCACAAACCTGCTCATGTTCGTCTCTAACTGAATTAACGGCCAGTAAAACTAAAAGAATATCCTTTATAGCGGCTAGTACTGAACGAAATTACAGTCCAGGACCTACATCAGAGCATGATACTTCCGAATGGTGCTGCGTAAAGTCTTCGGTATCATTACACCACATGTCTATTTGCACCTATCTTTCCCTTTGCTTGGTGGCTGACCGAGACCTGAAAGTTGTCAAGCGTCGGGTTAAACTGCCTACTTTCCACATTCCCTTCTTTCGTGTCAGATATCGTATGATGTGGCGAACTGGCGGATACTGGACGATCCTTCGATCCTGAACTGGTCGATCATCATACCTGTCAAGATTCAACAGCGGAATCTTGCCTCTCAAAGTTTCTTCTGAACTACCAACCGGGCATCTACTCATCATGGAGGCAGAGGATCATATGGCATCGGTGGTTCAGGTCTCTTTAGTGTTCATCAAGGCTAGCTGACATCCATTTGCCAAGTGTGGCATATTGAAGTTCAATAAACAATAAACTCGAACTATTGACGCGTAACCCCGCACCATGTACGGGACTCACATTCCATCGCATAGTTTAACACAGCTACAGCAACGATCTAATCCATCCTGGGCCTTTCAGCTCAGAGTATGTTCCAGAATAAATTTGTTGGCTTTACATGGACATACACAGCTAGCTGGAATATGTGGTAGAAGGGGCTGGTGGGCTTGACACCGAGTCGATACACCCTCCTAGAAATGTATTATTTCCATTCAGTCTCTTTCAAAATCCGGCCCATCTAGTCACCTTGAGTGAGCTTCCGTGTTCCCTATCCTCCATTATGAATTGTGCCACCGGCCAAGACTTATACGAAGATGGTCTCGATAATTCATGTCAGACATGGATTCGAAATCCGTCGAATCAACCACTGATGCTGGAGTGTTCTCACATCGATGCTGGCAAATGGCCCCTACGTCAGCCCACAAATGTTATTGAGTCGGGTCAAAAGGGAGTTGTTCTTCTTGGAAGCCTATGTAAGTTAGTCCGTTATACCTACACGCTTGTTCTTGCCTTAGAAACTCCAGTTTACCAAGGATCTCAGGCTCGGATAAAATATGAGATCTAACTTGATGAAAAGCCAGAGCTCTTCATCCTTGAATTCCAGTGTCCTGCTCGGGTCAGAAGTAATTCCCTGCACGGGGCCTCCTGTTCTAGCGGTATTTCAGTAAATGTTGGGTACTCTAAAAAGAATGGTAGTCCACTTGAACGCGTGTATACCTCTGTTCTTATGCTGTCCGTTGGCCAACATACACAGGAGAGGTTGACGTCCAGCTCATGTCTGCTTCAGGTTCTACAGAAAGATCGGTGGTCAATAAGTATTTATCACTCGCGGGAACTTTTACAGATGTTATTTCAAACAGCAAAGAAACAACCTCTCATAAAAGCTTCGTTAAAGTTAACTATGATTTCGGTGTTAAAGTACCACTTCCTACGGAGAAATTGGATTGGCGCCCTATCCATGGAATCATAGTCATTGCTGATTTTATCAGGTCGAGGATACTCTTTCCCAAGGAGACCTTCTATGACAATATCAATGACAAACAGTCGGAGTACTTCCGAGGCATTATCTGGAACGACGATCCTTCTTGTCTGTTGTTCATCGATGACTTTGAGGATAATCGCCATTTCGGGGCGGGGATCAAGTGGGGACAAGCCTATCTTGGATTCGGTGATGGCTGCAGCATGACTGTGCGAACTCATGGCGGAGATCTACAATTCTTCATCCAATGGGCAGCTTTGACGGCGAGGGTCCACAGGATACCCGTTCGCACATCTTAAATGGATTAAAGTCATGTACAAACTTGCCTGTGGCGATCAAGGTGTATCTGCCAACGATGCTTTGGGAAAGCACTTTCCAAGATATTTCGACAGCCTGTCTACTCCCACAAAGCATGCCACCATACAAGATATACTTCTTGCAAATGCTTCAAAATATGTCAGTGTCGACCTCCAGGCTGGAGCACTAAGTAGTTACCTGCACATCATTTCAGATGCCTTCGCCCTTGGTCAAACACAACGTCGACTCAGAAACTCACAGGACCTGGTAGATCCAGATAGGGAAAGGCATATCCAACTCCGGCCAGGTGTATATGGAGACTGGGGTCCAATTATATACTTCTATAAGGTGATGGACCGGATTTATTACATGACCATTACCAGGCGTCCAGTTTGTGGCAGTGCCAGCTTCAACGTGGCGAAGGAAAACTCCGCGACCTATTCACATACTATTAATGTCCTGTAAGTTTCAATACAAATCATCTACCGAAAGACCGGAGCCAAAGCTTAATTAAAAAGAGCACCCTCGCTAATAAACCAGCATCCCGTGGAAGTCGCCTTTAACTGTCGACGGCTCTAGAGACTCATATTCGTGACAAGCCCGTTTCGGGATCCGTTTAAGGTTTACGGTGCGTCTCTCCTTTTGACCGTTAACCGGGTTTCGTGACTAACTTTACTTTGAAAGACTCTATCTAGATATAACGAAGCACGTCGCATTATCGATAATTTGCCTTTTCACCCCACTGATCAACACCAACCACTTGCTTCTCTATTTATTACACGACCCAGCACGATCATACTCACCAACATTATCGCAAAGACAACTGCGACTTGTCAATCGTTAGCGACACAGAAATCTAAAAACATAAGGAAGAGAGACGTTGGACTTTTATGCGATGACCTTGAATCGTGTATAGGTCAAGGAAGACATCATGTAAGTTCGCAATCGAAGCGAGAGGGGCAATGATCGAACTCTGTCGAGTGAGCCTTGCGAGAGAGGCCTCAAGGAACTCGTTCATTACCTTACTAAGATTCGAATCTGATCAGGAGACAGTCAGGTAGATAGAATCTTTCTCAAACGACGGGCTTATCATTGAGATATTGCATGCCATATCGTGTTATTTAATATCGTGGTAGGAAACCTAGAGTTTATCCCTTATACTAGCATGCCATATCGGAAAGTCTGCTGAATAAGGACAAAGAAGCCTGCCTGGTAATTATCCCTCATTATCGATCTGCCCATGCCAGTTCCCCACGACCAGTACCCCAATAACACCCAGTTGTTTCCTTGTTTGTTCAAACTTGGGGAAATTTCCACTGGGAGCTACTTGACGACTCCAAGACAACTGGCGATCCGTACGTCAGCCATACGCCCGTCGACTCCATCAAGGCTGATTCTACCGGAACCCCACGACAAGTTCCCAGGTAGCATTGTTTTTTCATTTTATCGGTTATATAGAACGTTGGATTTTGGTCCATCTTGGACAAGAAGCATCTTATCGCTGATTTGACCGCAGGAACGGCCCTAGCTGATTATTTCTTCGGTATTGCCTAAGTATCATACAATGGCCTCGGGAGCTCATTAACTATTTCAAACTAAGCTCCTCTTCCCACACCAGCAACACAGTCGATAATGATGCCAGGGTTGACTGACCTGTACAACTCGGCACGTACTCTGATAATATCAAGTTGTTCTTTTGTTTCTACCGCCAGAGCATAGAATAATGGCCCCAGCAGCTAGTCGACCACTACCAACTAATCTACTGGTCAATCGTGTTGATCACGGGCCGTTCCACTTTGTTCAAGGTTGAACTTTCCAATACTCAAGTCATCGCAACAAGCGGCATGGAAGAATCGCCATCCTAGTCCTAAGCTCTACGGACCTGCAGAGGATTGACCGACCTAGGTGGCAGCAGGTGGCCATTTCTCGTGTCCACCAGAGAATTGGAGGGCGGACCTAGATGGTTGTAGTCTGTTTTGAACGAAGCTCCTGGTCCACGATGCTGGTTACAAGGCTTACAAAACTGTTAAAAGTTGACCCACCAAACACTCAGGGGTTACAGCATGTTAAAGGATAGGTTATCTGGCTTAGAACTATTGCTATTTAGCTTATTATATACAGCAAATACAGTATTACTTTCAATAATATAACTGGTCAGGCACAGCTGTCAATCAATCCACACAGCAATCATCTTCAAGCAACAATAAACATGCATCTTTCTTACTTACAGCCCCAGAGCCAGCCGGTTCCCAAACAATCATCGACCGTGCCAATCCTTCACTATATCCCAGGAGGACTGTCGGGAAACATCAATGAGTGTATCGGCAGGAAGACAAGCCCTCGATCGATAACACTCGTGCACCAACACATTTTGAACAATCCGACCTTCAACAATCGCCGACAAGTGTACCTCGAGTAGGAAGTTCATCATCGAAGCCAGGAAACTGATATAAGACAAGCGTGGTAGTTCTCCGTCTACTGGACCAGAGCTCTTTGTCGGACTACCATTAGATATGGTATCCATTAACTAATGGAACTTGTCTGTCGACTTTACTTTTAAAGGTTGTAGCTGGCCACTTCACTGTAGCATGGTGTTTAGCCAATAATCTACCAGTGAAGTCATTGAGTTGGTCCTCTCTAAATTAAACAGTTAGAATTCCCCTTTGATCTCCATCCATGCAGGCTGCTCAATCTTAGCTGGAAGGCTGGGTATCGCTGATAGCTAAAGAATCCCGGTAATTGATAGTCCGGGATCCAGCGTATTGAAGCCGACCGGTGTCAAGCGACGAATGAGAGTTGACAGTCTCGTACGATGTCTTAAATATGAGGCCCCCCACTTTAGCATTTAGTGCTGACTCCCAGTGAAGATTTTGTTCGTCACCAGCCTCACCAGCTTGAATGCATCACAATTCACTTCTCACATCTGAGATCGTAAACTTTATCTGCTATGCCTCTCTCAAGCGCGATCTCAATCGTCTAGCGTGAAGATCCGCCGGCACAGGCGCAAAGGGAGGCTGTATAATCGTAGCCTTTGTGTTTGTGGTGGACAGCCATGTCTCACCACAGCACAGCCGAGGACCAACAGTAGCGCCACAGCGCGGACTAAATACTCCTTTGAAAGCTTACCACTTGACGTGTGATAAAATGATAATAATAAATTAGTATCGGATTGGCTTTTACCTATTATGATACGGAAATTTACACTGTCACAACCTCACTGCTAGATCGTGATGAAATAATCGTCACCTCCTTCTGCCCCCGAGCAGTGAATGAAAAATAAGGGGATGAAAAATAAGATAAGACGAAAGTGCATGTCCTTGTCCTGTAGTCTGCAGCAATCCCCAGCCCCAACGTCATCAATCCTCGACGGGAGCCTTGTTTACAACTCAGAATACAAACACCCAAAGATGCACTTCTTGGTGCTGGAAAGCGGCATCAAAATCAAACAACCAGAGCAAACGATAAGACACTTACCTATCTCGGGTCCACTTTTCGAGTGCTTCTCCCCATTCTCTCGTTTGCAGATAATCTAGGCGGCGGTCTGGGATAGTTGATGAACCTGGTTCGGTGAAGAGAGGACAGAGCCACACGATGCAGCCTATTGTTACACAGCGTGCCGGGTATTTATACCATGACGCTTCACAGACTTGCAAGCTCTTCTCCTTTTTCCTACACCAGCTTTTGGCATACTAAAGCATCAACAACATGGTGAAACGGAAATTCGATGCGCTTGAGCCGGGGTCTGTCTCTTTACCTTGTGAGAGGAGAAAAACTGTCAGGTCTCCGGTACTTCGCTCCCCAGCCAGAGTGAGGACAGGTATGCTGACGGATCATTTAGCAAGAGATCCACAAGCGCAATGTCGCAGTTCCTTCTCCTAAAGCCAACACCCACACATCAGCCACCTCAACTGATTTGGACGGATTGCAAGAAGAAGAGGTATGGTATCGGAGGTCATGGCTTACAACTACTGATAATCCAAGCAGCCTCACCTGAAACCCCTACCGATCTGTTTGCTCGAAACTCTAGACACTAGCCCGTACGGCCGAGAGTTGGCTTGGCTAGACACTGATATCAAAGAACAAAGAAAGACACTCCAAGAAGCACAATATGAGGTCAAAACTGTTGGTCCCATGACGGAAAGTCTACGTACTGCGACACATCATCTGGCGATAAGCGAAGATTTCGCTCGGCGGACAGGGGCCACTATCAAAGGTGCTTTATAAGTATCCACCGGCTGTGAGGTTTACGAATCGTACATTAGTAGCCTCAAACTTAGCCTTGCACAGATCAGGGAAATTTGCAGTGAGGACAAGCTTGCTGTGAAGAAGGCTGATTACCTGTGGCGTTATCATCAAGGGCCACAGGTGCAAGCTAATGCGGACCGTGAAAAGACGCGATTGGAATCTCTCGAAGGTCTTAGAGCTGGACTGGAGGAGAACAGAGACCGGATTTTACAACAGAGGGCATTTTATGAGAGCGTTCAGCGGTTGTTGGACGAGAGGGCTGTCGAGGATGGTGAGAATGTTCTGGAGCAAGTTATGGACCTGGATTGAATAAGAATAATTCCAGCTTCTGTTTGTATGATTCAGCCGGTCGGGTTATTTATATTTCGAATTACAACCTACAGAATGATAAAGTCACCAGCATTGAACAAGTCATAGCCTCTTATCATTTTTATGTCTCATTCTCAACAATATCGTTGCGGCGAAGAGATTCATGGTATACTAATTACGTGATGTCAGCTTATCTAATCACGTATCTCAGCGACCCGACATCATTCCTCTACTTTACAAACCATGAGATGGGATAAAGAATAAAAGAATATGATGAACATACTAAGAGTCAATTAACTACTATCGATCAGCCGTCATTTATTGGATGCGCTTTTATGTTTTGGAGAGACAGTCAGGCAAGCTCCCCGTTTCTCAAACCTACTCGTCTTACACCTAATGAATAGTCACCCAAACCCTTGAGACTAGTCGGGCACTTCCAACAAGCGAAGTCCCGTTGTAATTGAATGTCGAACCTCCTTTTTCGCGACATTGAGAACTTTGATTTCTCTGACTGTCTGACGGTGACTCCCTCATCATTACCACTTTTCCTGCGATTCGGTGTATGGACTGAGTTGGTCAAGGTCAAAGGACTCATTCTCCTTTCTAGCCAATGACCTTCGAATAGCGAGCCAAGAATCCCCTTGGCCTTCAAGACCAACCTGCTGACAGAGAGTAACAGCATTGCTAACCCACGCCTGGTAGTCACAGTCGTTCTGTTCCATTTGCAGAAGGTCCCAAATGAACTGAATCGCAGTGTCTAGTCTTACCCTAACCACCGACGGCTCAAGCCCCTTATAATAGTTTTGACGATCGACATTCATAGCCAGACCTGCATTAAAGAGAGAAAGAAATTTAATAGAAGAAGAGAAATCTTCTTTAAGCCCTGTCTTTACTAGTAATACGGGATAGTTTGAAACCTCATGGCTGAGAATCTGCTGAATACATTGCGTATAATTGCCCGCCTGTAGACATAGGTCGGGAGTCTCAGAGAGTGAGAGATGGTCAAAGACGAGAAATAGAGCCCTGAAGAGTGGACGAAGCATGTAACCGTGGTCACGAAAAGATTGGACTTCAGGGCTGAACGGCGGTAGGAGAATGCAGTCCTTGGCGTAGTCGACGTTATAGAACCGCATCCAATGATGTTGTCGATCTCCGATCATGACCTAGAGCTTTCGATGGAAGTTGGTCAACCGAGTAAGGGAACCTGAGTTTGAGCCTCTGTATTGTATCGGCTTGGCGATGAATCCACCTCTCTGAAAGGGATAGACGTCCCTCGTCCAGCTGAAGCCATGTACGATATAAATAGCGGCCAAGATAGCCGAACCCTTTGTTCGAGATCGTTAAAGTGTCCAGGTATATCATTATTTCCTTATTGAGAAAGTCGATTGTTAAATGGCTTTTCATAATAGGCTTCCCTTGCCTATCCATGATGACAGGCGTATTAGTCTCAACTATCCTCTATCGATAGCTAAAAGTCTTATCAGAGCGGAGGTCTGTCGCTACTGATTCGAAAAACATACCTTCAGCGCATTGCGAATGAGCCTTTATATATGACTAGAAAGGAAATCCTACCTCGAAGAAGTTGTGTAAAAGTATTTCGGGTTATAGTTAATGCCGGCTGTTTGGGGCACTCGCGCCGTATGAATACGAATCTCGCTATATGTAGAATGGTGATATACATCCAGAAGGTCTATAGATATGACCGTTGGGCGCGGGCGATGACATTTGAGGGTAGTTCCGGACATTGTGCGCCTTTCGAGATGTTTCGTTACTGCTATGTTGAGCTAAGTTTGACAGAATGGGATTATGGAGAAAATGAATGAGATATCTCCAGCTGATATCATTTGGAATAAGTCAGATGTTACATACTTGGACATAGTAAGGGATCGTGTGTCGTGGTTCACTTGTAAAGACCTAATCTTTCTTGAAAGGCTCTCAACCTTCTCAGAGGGTTTGCGAAAGGGAAAGCTAAGATGGACCAAGAAGCCTTCTAGAATGAAGGTTCCATTTGCTTCTGCATATCTGAGAGATTAAGGTTGACTTGCCGAGTCCTACAAAGTTAGTGTAGAGTAATAGGGGTGGGTTGAAGCCAGATTTAACTAATGACCATATTGTTGTATAAAAGTCGAGGTTCGTTTGCAAAAGCCAATACTAGTAATTGAAAGTACGGCTAGCTGCAATCGCCCCTCGATCATATTGACCTCTGAGCACGTTATTATGGAAACAGAACACACGAAAGATCTGCACGATCTACCTGGAACCCCAGCTCGCCAGTATGTCTTTGTAAACCAACGAAATAATTTTAAACCACGCCTCGGTATGACCGATAAAAGCTTATGAAGTATTTAGGACTTGCAAAGAGAACAAACCTGTTTTAGATTATAAACGTCTGCCCACCAGAATGCATTCACTTACCTGGTACCAGAAAACAGAAACCCGCTACGAAGTGACAAATATGTAGTATGCGATTGGTACAAGATAAGGTCGGATCCCATCGCTGACGTCATCGCGAGATTCATGGACCCTGAATCTAACAATCCCTACCACCACGTAGCAAATCTCCACCAATCGTATATTTACTCTGGAAGCTTCAAGTCTTGAAATAGCAACTCATCTACGTCATTTACCATAGTAAAAAATGTAAAAACTATATTATTCCATCGTTAAAAAATGCATTCAGTAGCCATCACTGTGAAAGTCGCGAGACAATGACGTTAGTGCACTTACCTCTCCATCTGCAGTGATAGCTTCATCAAACTTATCCTCAACCACGTACCTCATTCACTTTTCACCCTCTTCAACTCGACTTTTTGGCTGCCACCAGCGCCCTCGTCGCCGTTTCTCTACACTTACTCAACCATCATTCAGCAAAGAACTTTCGACTCCAACTCGCTGACGTTCAGACCGTCAACTGACTCAAGCGTCGCCAAATGCTTCTCGACACATCACAATTGTGGCACCGAGCCATGCGTCGGCATTTCGTGATGCTCTTCATCATGATGTCGTTTCACCCGCGCGATGGCTAACTCAGCGAAACACTTAGACGACTTCGTCTGCTGCGAAAAGACGGCGCGCTGCTTCTGACCTGTTTGCCACTGTGAAGACTACGAGCGACAAAGACCGTTCGCCTTCTCGACCTATCAAACAGACAGCGACTTCAAGCCCTATAGCAGCGCTGAGGCATGGTAGACTGAAGCAATGTGATTCTACCATATCGCTTCCCTTCCCTCCTCTAGATCTCGGGTCAAACGTACGTTTACCAGCTTCTTTCTTCCCAGAGAGTAACAGTTCCAGCTCGATACAGAACAACATCCGACCCTGGTTACTGACCTCACGCGCCAACAAGACCTCCCCCTCCCAAACCAAGCCATACCGTTCAGTAACGTATTGGTGCAACTCTCCGCAAAACCTACCGACCAGGCACAGACGAGCCAGACAAGAATTAACACTCTCCTCAACAAAAAGTCACTCCTAAAAGAAACACCAAAGCGCATAGCTCGTCTAGGAATCGCGATCGAAGACTGCCACTCCAAGATTGAGCAGCACGGCAACGACTAGAAAACGTCACAATTAACAATAGACACGCTTAAACGCGATAGCCCACACTCGGCTGCCAGTCTACACAAGGACATAAAAAATGCTATTAAACTGCCCAGGTGAGTCTTAACATGAGGATAAAGGAGTTGAGGGTTGAACGGGAAGGTTGGGACGTGATTAAGGCAGGGTATATTGTCTGGAACGCCATACACCAAGTCGAGAAGGTCAAGCTGAGGAAGATTACTGGGAGAATTGAATAACGGAACTCGTTGAGCGGTTGGCATTTGATGTGACGAGCTGGCCACGCTGGGAGTACAACATTCCAGAGGGGAATCCATGGTTGATATGAGATACCTACCAATACAAGAAAACATGTAATTACCTCGTTACCACTGAAATAGAGTCACTCTACGAGAACGAGTAGTTCTTAAAGCCTATAAATGTTACCGACTCTCAACTTCAATTTGATACGTTTTTAGGTGTCCTCATGGTTAGTATCTACCTGCATGTTCGGAGCCTGCGCAACTTCCCTCATCTTTCTACAGCCAGTGGAGGCTAATTAGGTCCTCAAACTCAAAAATACCTGCCGAAGCAGAGTGTATATCACCAGTTACTTTCTAGCCCTTTTGCATTACTTGCTCTTTGGCGGGCATCGTTCTGGCTGTGCTTTTGATGCCATTAACTACACTGAAGTGGTGTATATAACACGAGCCTCATGGTTAGATATACCTTGTTTGCGAGTCAGGCTCCACTTTCGGACTGAACTCGAGACCATCGCTAGCAAGTGATGTAAGGAGTGTGAGGATCTTGGTACCGCAAGGAGGTATTTCACAAGAAAGACGCTGGTACAAAATGAGCAATTTCCATTCCGCGCATTGACATCCTTCAGGTATTCACGATGTACTGCCGAGTCTTGATATATGAACAAGCACCGTCAAGAAAGCTGGCGCATCATATCTACTAGTGCCGGACTTCCCCATTAAAAGGACTCTACAGTCATGGATACAGAGAGTTTGTAGAATATCATTTTTGTCTTCGTGCAGAACGTCTAGCCGCCAACACGTACGATATCAGGAGCTAACTCTGCATTCTCATTAAGTTCCGCGTCAGGTCTGCCGAGAGCTCAAACAACACCTTCCCCGGAGCTGCTGAAAGGAAACGGGGAAACGGAGTTTCAAGTAGTATCTCCTTCACACCTTTCTTTCATCGGGGCCACACAAGAAGCCCTCTTAATGGTCGGTGATTGAAAGACGGATATCATCTCGCCATTAACGATTGGCGGCTCTGGGTGTGCGGGAAAAGACAGAATGCTCTGGTTTTAAGCTTGTGTTTAGATGGAGCCTATACAATGGATCACGACAAGACGACTTCATGGAAAGACTCAAGATCACTGAAGACGGGTTCTAAGATTGGAGGGTCATCCTTGTAGCTGGCTAGATAAGATATCCAAGCACGTCAAACAGGACTTTATACATGAAAATCGAGAGGTTCCCTCAAACGTCACTAAACTTTCGACGGTTCAACTGGCTTATCATATAGAGATGCCCTTACTCGGATTTCTTTCCTCTATACTACTTAACCACTGATCATCATCAAAATCCCCCCCTTGTCATATTTCATGGTTAACATAAAGGTAGTAGTCCTTACCACGCGATAAGAATGAGGACGATTTAGATTCTTCGGTATGTATCTAGGATATTGAAAAGTCTGTAAAGTGTTCGATATTGCTGTGGTTGCTGACGCTTGAGATCCTTTTCAGGTCGATATCGAATTTTCTTGGGGTTGAAAAGAAGGTGAGCGCTGTGATGTTGGTATGGCCCACGACCCTTGACGACATTGTACTCAAATAGCAAGCCTCTGTATAATTGGTGCTGTAGGCGACCTGAGCCCGTATGTTCACATTGGTGGTTCAAAAAAGTATTGGCCATTATCACTCCCAGATTGTAGGCAGACTTGTCGGAAAGAAGAATCCACACCGCTTTGTTTGTGAGGTTATAGAAGAGACTGTGCTTTGTTAGATCCGGAATGGACAACAAAGAGGAGACCTCAGCCCTCTGGTACTCTTGTTTCATTTTCAGCTCCCTTGTTTGAGCCGGATGTGTTGGCAATGCACGAATCTGGTGCTCCATCGTTTGTTCTCAGTTGGCAATCGCCCCTCACAGCCATTTCTCCCAACAAATACATCGCTATTCATCCACCACAGTGTCAGTCTTTCTCATCCTTACAAGAAGGTACCCCAAATACTACCGCCGCGGGTCGCAGCTCCTCATACTGGCAAATCGTCCATACTACAGAGGAAAGCTGGGTTGATGCCCGAAGCAGGGACCCCGCCACGGCGACACACCAGCGAAGCTTCACCTTCAATTTGCGATATTCTTCAGGTTGTATCGACACCTTCACTTCAGGAATCATGACTTGTAAGAAGCTCCTCACCGTTGATACTCACGTTGGTAAAAGTCACGGGGATTTTACTGCAGGGGTTCTGTGAGCCTTCGAACCTCCCCGCTCTGGGGCGGTTGAGGGTTCACTGAGGCGCCACAGCAGTACCCAAGAAGAGTGCGTGACAACTTTGCCTCTTTGAAATGAATCCTTGAAGGCTTTTTGGCCGTTGCACAATCTGGTTGTTGGTCTGGATTGGGAAACGGTTATTATAGTAACAATAGTGACCCCGGGAATGTCATGCTTGGGTATTGTGGGGTATCACTGGAGACGTGGTATGTGATGTGGCAGCCTTTAAGCTTCTATGCCTACTTTATTCCCGATTATTGTTTCTTAGTACCCAGTATTAATCCTGGTCGAGTCCCGCCTCGCCAGATGACTTAAATGTTCGCTATGAATCACTTGTATCAGTGATTTGAGTTAGAGGAATAGTATAACACTTGAGAACGATCGCCAGTGGGTGACAGTGGACCACTTCTTTTTGTACCTCTATTTTTGTGCTCGACGATTGCTGCACCTGCACTTGAACCTACACATGACCTGCATTTCGGTTTGCGTTTCTCTACCAATCTGCTGAGCCTTTAGCGATTGCATTCATGCCTGCTCTTGACTTGTTACATGTTACTTACAAGGTTATTAGGCCTTACCGCCTAGGGACGACACACTAACAGAGGGGCACAACGAACATCACCACCAGTCAACTCCCTTCATCGCCATCACCTTGGCCTGTTCTGCTATGTGCAAGCCACCCCAGTAATCAACACCATCTCCTCTCAGTACAATTGACTTTCTCCATCGGCATTAAAGTCTTTGGCGCCATTCTCCCCGCTCACAACCGTCACCCCCTAGATGACCATCAGCCTCTTCAACACTATCATCTTCCCTCATTACCCTCATAGCCATCGACCTCCCTGATCCCCATCAATCACATTCCTACTATCATCCTTTCTGCTCGACATCCACATCGCTTATCGTCGCGACACCTCCAGAGGACACCCTTGAGTGCTCCAGTGCTCGTTCATCTTTAGTCCGCTACTGAATCCCACAGCCTCCCTACAGTGAACGGTTACCAGCATCAAAAACAAATCAGAGTCGCCTTCTTCAAACATTCCACTCCTGTGGCTACAGTGGAGTACCCCCCCAGGAAGGTCTTAAAAAAATAGGAATTCCTCCCTAGATGTCTCAGTCTCCTACTACCCTCACTGGTAAATCCCGGTGGGAAGGGGTCCCTTGAAATGATTGGCTAGAAATGTCTATCGGACAAACGCGATTGGCTAGAGTTGTCCGACGGACAATTCCAGCCAATCACATCACTGGAGACCCAAAGTCGCCAACTGAATCTTGTTCGTCAGCGAGACAGCGCGGGTACGCTTTGCCGGCGAACTTCAGGGTTAGCATCTCAGCGTATGGGAGCCTTATAACCGTCCCGCGGCTTTGTGGTGTCCCAGTTCAGTTCAGGAGAGCCAGACTCCACTTCGCAACTGACCCAAATGCGTGAGTACCTCAGTATCCGACGGAAAACCGGAGGCAGCCAGCGGGTAATAAGACCTCAACTCTGAGCGAGCGCGATCTTCCCTATCTCGCTATGTCCCATCACCAACCATTGGTGTAGCTACTGCACTGGCAACAACCAATCACCATCCCGGAGGTAATATTTACCCTCAGTTACAACGAATATCGGTCCCTGAGACGAGCTTACTCGATCTCACATTGGGCTTTGCCGATGCTGAAGATGCTGTGAGACATGATGTGTCACACCGAAATCTACCTCCCGGAGTCATACTGCTTCTTCGCCACTACCCTGGAATTGTCAATACTAACCGTTGCTTAAGTACAGGCCTACTTCCATACCGAGCGAGACTGTATCACGGTACAAATTTACTTGAACGATCTGGCTCTGTGATCCTTTCTTATGGGCCAATCACACCGCTCAAGCGACTAGATAAAACAGGATGTCTCCTGGCCAACGATTTCTAAATGTGTCAATGGCCAGGAATTCCGAAATTTGCAATTCGATAGCTATTAACGGCCGTCATACTGAACAATGTTGGCATTAACCTTGGTCTTTAGAATAGTAAACGACGCCGTAGAGGTTCTATTAGATTGTCTATTGAGGCATTTCTTACTTATCTTTTTTATGGCCATCGTAGTAGGCTGACGCCCTTGGGGTTCAAATTATAAAGACACTAACTCAGCGTACACTTGGTGTCTAGTGGGGAAAAGAAGATCGCTCCCTCAACCTCATCAATAGGATGGCAGATGAAAGTTGAGAATATGGAACCCTGGAAAATTAAATGCCAGTATGTACTTGGACCGTTGCGGACTGAACGTGTTTGTGATGGGCCATGCCTCTATACTTGCCTTACTTATTCTACGCTCCTGGATGATCTGCCACCGACCCTTTCCCTTGGCATCATAGCAAGGGTATTTCGGGATGACGAGGTGATAAATACGCATAGCAGCTGTTCTACACATCGTCAGGTTTATCTCGCGTATTTCGGACAAAAGGCCAGATATTGTCATTGTGATCCAGATCATCTGACGCCAATCTCCGCAGGATGAGAGAGGGAAGTCTCGACATCTTGATCGAAATTTGGTCTAGAAACCCCTTGGGTACCCTCAGACAAAGAATTGTAAGACCATAGCCGAAGTCAAGTCAACAGTCATATCAGGGTTGTCATGAAACTACCCTCACCTATGAGATTATCATTAACGAAGCGAAGCCCAAGGAAAAGAGTTGAAATTGCGTTGGAGGTTACAACATAACAAGACCAGCGCTTAACGAAGTTAACTGAACAATATTCTAGGATGCACTCGGTGCTGGACCAATAGAAGGTTCGCTGGTCGCTGGTGCCGTAAGTCTACCAATCTCGGAGTCGGTTTTTATGATCGGAGAGAAGCTTATGCGGACAGCCTCGGTATATTTAGAACCACGATTGGTGTTCGAGGATAACTTTCGGAAGGGGCTTCTAAAGGCATTTTGTTGTGATCGAATCAGAAGATAGTTCTTGAAATAGCGAGTTGGCCTTTGTTATGTATGGCGTTGCTGGATCTCCATTTAACAATTATTTGAGTAGTGATGTGCGAAGACAGGATGACCGGGTGTGCCGCAATGCGTCCCAAAACGAAAGCAGGTCCGATAAAAATTAGAAGTTAAACCAACTGAAGGCGTTTTGAATACAATCATGTATCACTGACCTTTAGGATCCCTCTATTGAGCGTTCTTTCTTCCCGATCTCTGCTGTTCAGGTGTCAGATCTGTATGAACTGAGGAACAGCAGTAAACTTCCACGCGTCAGTTTCATATGTTTCCGCCCTGGTGCATGAATTGCCCGATGAACAATCAATCTTGATTCAATGTCATAACTACGACTGAGGCCATGTCCGAAGGTTAGTTTCGATTTGAAAACAAGCCCTTTGGGGATAGAACTCACTTGATATGGCGAGCTCAAGGCGCGGCTAGACCTTACAGGCAAATCCAAGTGACAGGTCAGATTGATACTATCGGCTTGGATGCATGACCTAGTCTCCGCAGAAACCAAAAGAAACTGTTATCGTAGTATTCATCAGCTGTTGTCGTTTGGAATATGAATATGAATGGATTGACTCGCGGCAACCACCTACCTTTACGTATCCAAGGGATAATAAACAAGTCTCAGCTAGTGGTCGGCAGGAGTGGGGTGCGTGTGGGTAACATCACAGTCTCTGGCAGTTACTAGATTGCTTACTGAGACGTCACCGTTCAAGGTAAAGGCCCTAAATAGAGTCTTCGTACACGTCTGCGAAAGCTTTGTTTCTATGCCGTTCATATTCCGATTGCCCAGTGAATGGCGGTCGGTGGGGATGATTGTGAGGGACGCAGGCATGGGCGGTGAGATTGTTGACGGCAATGCAGATCAGCCTTGTTGGCCAATGCCGATAAATCATCTTGGCAATCCCGAAGGCGGAGTCAGCAAGGACCAGGTCACAAAGGTCAAAAGCGGGCAGCATCTATTGGCTGTTGAGCGCCACCGATGATGTTTCTGGTCTCGAGAACTCCTATGAAGCGCTGTTAGTGGAGTTTGACGTGTAGCTCACCGTATCAAACCAGCCCTTTCTAAGGTAATGGAAGCAAACCTCTCCAATACATGCCATCATCTTGGTATGGGTAGTTGTTGACTTCATGGCATGCTCAACGATTGTGGCCTTCATAGCCGGCTCGGGTGGTACGAGGCTACGACTCTTGTCAGAGAAGTCTCGCCAATAGAGAAGACATACCTCGTTCCATGGGTCTGATCTTGGTCGTCGAAAGTCAGGGCTTTGTATGCAATCTCGGGCGAGTCATCTCGACCTGCAGCAGCAGAAATGGTAGTCGTGGAGCTGGTAGAGGCCGTACATGACTTCTGATATGATATGGCTTGGTATACCCCCACAAAGATTGTTCCCAGTGATCCGAGTCGGTCAAGATTGGCCTCGTTGGTCTCATGACTGGCTTTTTCATCAACAAATCCATCAGCAGGAAACACCAGAGACGCGTGGACGTAACGTACTGGTCTGGAGATCTTGAAAGACCAAATTCATACCACTCCGCTTCCCATTGAGCTTATGTGTAAGCGTAGTGGTGCGGCCACCAGACTCTTGTACTTCAAAGTCATTGATATGGCAACTGAGGGTGATGGTCCCATCGATATCAGCTAAGAACTTGACTGGGTTGTGGCCATTAGTGAAGACGAAGTTTGGGTGAACTGTGACCTCGATAGAATATCGTTGTCCGCTTTGACTCTCGATGAAACGGTGAACGATGGGCACTTCATCAGTACCGATGTCGCTGTTGAGGCACGATTCGACGGGTGGTGGGAACTCCTCGGCAGGCTTGCCGTTGATGAGGACGCGGACCTCGAGTCTACCGTTTTCGGCCTGGAAAGAGATACGTATTAGCAAAGGTACGACTGATGAGAGAATTCATGGTGCAAGGGCGAGCTTCCCTGGTGGTTCGTGCTAGAGATGACGAAGAAAGATGGAAATGTTAGAGAGAGAAGGAACGACAACAGGTGAGTGGGTTGTAGGCAGCACAAACAGAGCACGGTCGCATGAGGGCAATGAGGCACCCCTTCAAAGATGCTCCAAAGGTAAGAGCAAAACTAAAGGGTTAACATCGATAGGCCCCATTCAACGGCACTTGCACGTTCCAATTCACAAAAACGATATTCACAAAGTTCTTCAATATGATGAGCGATACTTGTCTAGCCGATTACATTATAGTGATATTAAAACTTCTAACACCTACGGCCTTCCCGAGGAAGCGGTCAAGGTTATTAACTTGAGCGTCTGCTGCGTGTCTCATTCGGCCTGCGGTCATATCCCATCTATTATACTACCTTACACATGTTCAAGATTAATTAAGCAGTAGCACCAAGTAAAACTCCGAGTATCCAGTAAGCGCGAAATCAACTTGTAATTGAAAAGGGCCCTCAATTTGCCAAAACTGAGGTCGATGAGCTTATTATATCACGTTCGGCTTTTCAACATGACTGTTTCCAGCACCAACCAAGAAGGTGACAGACAGCCAAACTATCGATGTGAAGTCAAACTCTATTTATAAGGACTGATAACCATCGAATTATACTACAGAGCCATAAGAAATGCGCCTAAGTTTGAGCGGGAATCTCTTTCTTTAAGATCTCCAAACAACAGCTATACATCGGATGATATCGAGAGAGCAAGACACTGATGAAAGGTTATTCCAATAGAAATAATTACCCCTGGAGGGCCAATATTCTCACCCTCAGATAGTATGCTTCTAGTTGAGGTCCCCTTCTGACTGCACCCTCCATAGTCTATATTACAAGTATTGTGAGTCCGTCCTGGATTACATCGGGCGAACGGCCTTGCGTAGTGCCTGGGTACTACCCGTCCTTGGCATCCTGTCCATGACAGGCGTGGAATCAGAATGTATGGTACATCCGCTGGTAGGAAGCAACAGGGGAGGAGTTGGGCTGCGAAATGGGCGCTGTGGCAATACTTTTGTTCCGGCAATTCAAAGCAGCCAGACTCGCCGGGAATTTAGTCCTGATCTGGACTAAGGATCGCCATATCCTCGTTCACATTTACGACCATCATAGAGCACCATCGCTGGACAGATTTATGCGCCCTCTACCTTGACGTCAGTCCACTTCTCCCTGTTCACTGCCGCGGATTTCGGCCCGTGGCCTTTGTTTATAAGTTTTCTGTCTTACATTCCAATATCTTTCAGACCGTCCGTCACAATGCCGCGTTAAGGATCCAACCGAATCGTTACCAGGAGTGCTAACGCGCGAGCTGCTGTCCTCGATTCTGAGCCATGCGTCTACGTAGACTCTTCCACGCGCCGCACTAAAGAACCATATCCCGATTCCCCGGACTCCGACATTGATACCATCATTTTCGAGGAAGCATTTCTACCTTGGTTGTCGTCGGCGCCATCGCTGTAGCCCGCAAGTTCTACCTCACTGATCGACCTCGGGACACCGACCTCGGGACACCGACCCTTCGAGCGGCATGATTGCCCCTGTGATCATCAAAGAGATTATCGAAGAGGCCAGAATCCAGATTACTACCGCTGTGGCTGAGCATAACAAGATCCAGCCAAAGTATGACCACGCTCGCATCAACCTCTTGAGTGCCACGGATGAAACGCCCAAAGCACCAGCCAGGAAGGCCTATACCGAAACCAGGTTCAAAAAGCTCCCAGTACAATAACTCGCCGCGAAAATCGAGATCTTTCACCAAAAATGCCGACACCATGCTTGGCATCAGCGTCTCGATCGACTTGAACTTCTGGAAGAAGACCATGAATGAGGAGAGGATAGGGTGTATTATGACTTTGCGGATAACTGTTGTTAGTGAAGGGTTGGACTGACAGGGATGGCATGTGATCATACTGGAAATGACAATGGTCAGATAGCATGATCGAGGAGTGTTGGCGCTCTCAGGGACCCGTCATTCCCAAGCTGGGAGCCATAGATTAAGGCTGTCTAAAGTCTTGTATTGATGCTGAGTAAACGTGGAATTGACTTACTGAGATTTTAATTAACCGCCATTGCCTGTAGTTGCTTCCTTTGTGGATGAATTTCTAGACCGTGAGTATAACTCTGAAGTGTAAGTAATAATGATAATTAGAAATAAGCACTAATAGGTGTTATAATAATAGCTATAGCATTGCAGTTAGATGTCGGGAGAACGGTGAGGTAAGGACCGCGAATCTAGAATTTATTAAGCCTCTTATCCTGGATAGCAGCTCACTTCTGTATACCTGTCCTTGCCGAAAGCAAATAGAGTTAATCTCGGAGTACCGTCAAACAGCGTTGCGCTTCTTAACGGGTGATATAGGAATCGAGATACTAATCAGGGCTGGAAAGAACTTGAGATTAATGGCGAGTGTAAGAAAGCCATTCTGGACAACTCGTTCGTCTTCAAACGTCAAAGGCCGTGAAGATTGACTAGGACCATACTGTCAAAGAGAGTGTCAAAGAGCACGGGAGAGGATAGTTCGTGGTATCGCCCTTGGATACACATAGGTCAGGGTCGATTGAAGGTAGCCAAAGAATGATATCCCCAAACTTTCTTCATGCCAGAGAAAACATGGTCCCTACAGGATACTCAGTCAGTTGGCTTCCGCAGAGAAAGGCATGTGCGACTTGCTAGATAGGTAACAAAAGGTTACGAGGATGGCCTCGTCAGTCAATGGTCAGAGCAAAGTTGATGAGGGGACAAGTCGGTTGCTTGATGTGGCATTTTACGATATCTACTACCCACTTATACTGCATATGTACTTGTGGTGAAAGTTTGATAACATACAACACACGCGACAGTCTCACCTGCGAGTGTAGAAAGTCTTTGACTGCTTTTGGAGCTGTACTTGTTGCTTTTCGAAATCTGTGCCTCAAACCACAGCGCGGTTGTTCAAAACGTTCGTTTGACTTGTGCGTCGCTTGAATAAACTTACGACATGATAACGCGCAGATAAGAGATGGTAGGAAGGTAATAGTGTGAAATTTTTCTCCATTATCGTCCTTCAGCTGACTGCTATTCGCATCATCTAGCATTAAGAGGACCAAGACTATTTAATTCTAAAAGGAATAGCATGAATAGTAACTTCACCACAGCTGAACTCCATGAGCCAGGTCTCTACAACTGACAAGTATCTCATAAGACTATTTTCAATTGTCGCAGGGACCGAAATATATGCCCGCTGTCAAATCGGTTGCATAGGGTCCCGTGATCGTAATGGATAAGTCAGGGAGTTCTTATCAGTCTTGTCGCCACTGGTATCAGATCCTCTTATGCACCTTGGAATATCGTTAACTCTTTCTCTTCTATATCTTTGCGTCGACCCTGTGGCACCTTAAACGTTTTGCTCCTCACTCCATCCCACTCAACCCTGCCTATAAAGGGCCACTCTATACAACATCGACCTCATTCTCTTGGCAGCAACGACATCCCACTATTCTCAACTGACTGCCACGCTACGCCGTTTCCATTCACCATGACCTACGTCACCCCGAAATGCTACCCATCATATGTCATAACACCAACACGACGTCGTCCGAGATGCTTCTTCGATACTTTCGATTCGCGCAGCCAGACTGCTGCCTCCAGAACCAAGAACATCACGGGACGGTACCCTTAGGAGGTGTTAACTGACGCCCGGAATGACTCTTGGCTTACCATTACACTGGATTACTTCGCCGACCTGATAGAAAGAGTCTACCGCTACCAGTCTATTACTTTCAAGGATGTTCGCCTTAGACTTTTGAAACGGATGCAGAACCACACGCTTAACTACAGGGAAATGCTGGAGCCCGAGGACGTTGTTCAGGTAATGGAAGAGTTCTTTCCAGCACGTTCCGATAAGCGCCGCTTCAGACCGTTATCGCGATAACCTCAGACACTTCAAATGGCCATATCTCCACCAAGAAAGGTGCCAGCAATACCACACCAGACCTAAACTAAGTAAGATACGGCACGCCCTCGATTGTCCGGCACATGCTGGATGATGCTGCGCACATACTGTGTCATTCCGAGATACGATCTAAGCCGGTAACCAGCGAGGGAAGCATAAGCAAGAGCGCTGACGCCTAACTATTGTGGTGTATAGCAGAGCATGTTACGTGGGAGGCAGTGATAAGAGGATGGTGACTCGGTGGAAGGAAGGTGTGCGTCGTTTCTGGAGGCGGGTGGGAGTGGGGATGTATGAGAGGCAGAGTGCGGAGTTAGTTACAGAACGGAGTGGTCAGGACATGCACTGTGTTTCGATGTCAGATAATAATGGAGTAAGTACTCTGCGGAATTATGCAGATACAGTACTTGGAGAAAGGGGTATGCGAGGATGTGATTAAGGCAAGGAGTAGTAAGCGTGAAATTTTGTGCAAGAGTATATATGTTAAGCTGGACGTTTCACTGCTGTATAAGTTTATACCGCGACGCGTAACGTGAGACATAGTCTATGACGCGCGACGCGTGTGGATTAGCGCTCGAGCGTGTAATCCTTACGTTAGAGTCTACGTACCTGACTGTGAAAAATAAGCAAGTCGGTGGGGCATCGGCAAACAACCTGGAACCAACTCTTTACCGGGCAAAATATAGCGATCCATAAGTTCGTCATATCCCTGACCCGCTATGCCGTGTAGACCATTAGTAAAACCTTTGCGTCCGAGGTTGACTCTAGCATCTAAAAGAAAGCTACACAACGATGTGCTTCTTCGTATTGCGTATATTGTTGGATGGATATTTGCCTCCTTATTTCCTCGTCCCCTGCATCTTTATAGTTACGGGGTCCCCCAGTCCGCACAGGTAGACCGAAAACGGAGCATTATTAATGTCTTCCTGAAACTCTAACGCTAGAACTGACGAACATATACAAGAAGACTTGATTACGGTCAAGGGCTACAGTGCCGTTTAGATACTCCGGAGAGAAGAAGTTATTATCTAAAGCCTTATTAAGTAGAGTCTCAGCACCTTATTGGTAGTACTCTATGCTATTAAGACGATACTTCTACTTATCTTGATTTGTAGTGGTTGATGGCTTGATGATGAATGATGGTAATGCAGGGAGGGGTGAACTCCGCGTTATCACGTTAAATCCTGCTTTCTCATCCGCAAGCCGCCGCCTCATAAGGAACTTCCAATAAAGCTCCTACAGACCTCCCATCCAGCGCTCCAGTACTACTAAGCTAATTGCATACATAGATGTCTTGACCTTTCGGAGTGCTTCCTGATTAATAAAGGCAACAGATGTTTGTGAAACTTTTGCTACCTTAAACTCCATCAACCTTGGGTATGAAGGACAGGTCTACTTACATGGTCTTTACCATTATTGTATGACCTCTTGACGAATGTTTGTATGTTGCTGGTAATTTACCGTACCTTTGCTGTTGACCAGGCCGTGACAGACCTAACCAATAGTTCTTCACATATGCACGTATCAATAACATAATAGGAGGTTTACCAAATGAATAGAATTGGTGTTTTAGACTAACCAAAGGTCACGGGGTTAACTGATCGGACTGCCATCGCGTCCCATGTCTCTTCTGCCTAGTCTTATGCTTTTGCCGTCCTAACATCCTCGTACTTGCAATAAAAGGTTATGCCCAACAAGATTCATCCGATCCACTACAAATTGTTAAGTGTCCTTAACTGTCTTAGATTAACAGACAGAAACCCCCAATCTTAAGTCCCTTGTTTCCTTCAGTCCTAATACTTCTATGATTCCCTTCATGTTCCCTCACTTTCCTCGGGTAAATACCTGCGCAGAGGAAAGTTATTAGGAAGGCAGATAGGTCCAGTATCATGAACAAAGCAATCGTCAGGAAAACGAACTGGTTCAAGTCCCGCTTCCTTTCGCAGAAGCTTAAATGTTCGGAATGCAATGCCAATCACGTCGACTACCATGTAGCTCATGCTGTACTTGCCAAGGATAGCTACACGTTAAAAGAGACCATTGATGTTGACGAAGCCCAGTATAAAGCCTGTGTCACCACCTCGCGTCATACATTTCTTGAGTTCTCGACAAAGATCGGCTTGCTCCTTTGGTAATCCAAGAAATTGTTTGGTCATTGTTCCGCCTCCCAATGCTTTGTACAACCCAGCAGAACGCTTCGTGTCGTCAAGATCAACAGACACAAATGGGCCATACTCTGTTGTTAAAACCGATTGATTGGAGGCAGGACGTGAGGGCAGTTAAAAAGTATGACTGGAGTAAAAGACAGAGTGTAAAGGTCAAGTAATGATAAATGAAACTCGAGGACACTCAAACCCTCGTGAAACGCTCGAGCTAGTGGACGATAATGGCATTGAAAGCGAAGTAGAAAGCCAAAGCCGACGGTAGATAGCCTTTTTATACTAACGAGTATAGGAGAGCATGGGCGTGAACAAAATGGCCCTAGAAAGTACTAGACGAGCCTGCCTCTTGTCGGAATAGTCACTGTACTCGCTTCCGGTCAGGCGAATAAAAGGAAAAGAATAAGACACTGTATCAGCTTGTCTGGTTATAAACAAGATGATATGTCCAATACATGCGCCCCAGAACCGGTGAAACATTCTAGGTGTTAGGATAGGGCGCTTCGGTCGAGACTGGTCTTTTGAGGATACGACATGAGTCTTTTTAATCCTTCAAAACACACCAACCAGCTCAAAATATGCGTGATGCACGTTCAGTACAACATGGCTCGGAGTATTAGTGACCACCCTGTTAGCTAGACGCACCTCTCTGGTTCTAGGGTAGAGCTTTGATGGCTAGGTCCGCTCCGCTTGACAACTGACCATTCTTTTGTATTGGCGGATGATGAGCTGATTGTTGCTGGTACGTATATCGTCAGTCTTTCTATCATTGATTGCTGAACTATCTGCTTAGCGATTGGCGATGATCGAGTTTCCTGCGAATTTTCATTTGGTCGATACGCAACCTTTTATAATGATGAACTCAATATTGAACTGCATATGTGTCTCGTGGGCGATGCTCATTTGCGTACCAAGGCGACAGTATGCTTTCACGCCTGTTGTTACGAATCCCGCTTCTACTCGATGACTCCGGCATTCCTTGCCGCCGCACAGTATACTTATTCTCTGTCATTGAGTGAGGAGCGACGACGAGCCCGCTATATCCACAAGCCCTCGCGTACAATTTGCAACACGCACGACTCTGACCCCTAGAACCTCCCATAGAGCTGTGAACTATGGTCGCTGGTCTTCTTCTGGAAGAGTGCGCCGCTCTTACAGCGCAAGAGCAGCTGCACGGGTGCGACAGCGCTGAAGAATATACACTCGATCTAACAAAACCTGTAGACGCATCGTATGTGGTTATGGACGTTCAATTATATGTCAAGAACCTCCGGAACACGGCCAGGACGGACGTCAAGGGAGGAAGCCATATTATACTGCAAACCCCCGGCATATATGCGGAGGAGAATGAAGGGAAGGATATGTTTATGGCCGAAGACCATCTCGGTATTTACCAAATCGTCTTTGTCTCGCCCAAGCACTACAACGATGTCGTAGTCACTCGAGCGCGCCAGGCGCGTGGTGGACACACATATCTCGTGATAACATTCAATCTACCGTCGCGATAAGGAGCTATATTGGCAGCCCATTATTCAAGTCTCATTCTAAGCTGATATAAATGCAGGGCTCTAAGATTCATAACATCGAGGGCAGACGAAAGGGATCATTAATACTTACACCCTATATCAGCTGGCAAGTTCCAATTTCTATTTTACCCACTGTCATTAATCTCTTGGCACGAAAGATACTAGAGTAACACCTAAGTAACCTCTAAATACGCTTTTTTAAATGCAATAGGCCTAACACCACCGGGTATTTTATGGCTACCGACAGGGCAAGAACACTAGCTATCCTATCCTATAAAAAGGATTAACAAATATATCTAAATTTATTCAAGGATGTCAATGCCCCTATCTGCTTCCAGATACACATGCCTTTTAATCAGGGCAAGTATCTTACTGACATCTATAGGCAGGGTGGGTCCTTGACAGTTCGGACTGAAACTGTTGGGTTAACGGTAAAATATATTGTTCCCTATACTATACTGCGCCTCTAAACAAATCGAGAAATGATAGTCCCTTCGTGCACGGTAGTGAACTTGAACTAGAATGAGAGCGGACTCGGTGAACAAAAGAATGAAAAGATCACTAAATTCTCTAAATAGTTCCAAGAACTAAACATACTGCTATCCTATCCGCTTTCAAGTTAACAAGTTGTCGTTCCATCAAGTTGATTAGTCTTCTTCCTTAAAAAAGGCAACTCTGACTCCATTCTTTGGCGTGAGAACAATATTCGCTGACAGGATACCCATCTCATCCGGTTCCATGCGTCGCTCAACTCGCGCAAATTGTTGAAAGATGCGCACAAGCGTATAGCCCATCTCTGTGAGAGCAAACTGCTGCCCAAGGCAGATTCTAGGACCACCATTGAAGGGAATGTAGGTCCAAGGACGAGGTGACCATTCTTTGTTGTTAAAGCCGTTGGCCTTCATCTCCGATGCGTCCTTCTCAGAAGTGTGCAATACTGAAGGGTGTAGCCAACGCTCTGGATCAAAAGTATTGGCATCCGGAAATTTGTCTCCATTGGTATATGTGGCTGGATAGAGGTCGTTTCTCCTCATCATCACAAGTGGCGTATATGCAATGATTGTATCCTTCTTCACTGAGATGAATTGATTGCCATCTGACCCTCCACCACGAGGAAGCGATGTGTCGTCCAGGGCGATTCGCATGTTGAAAGGAATGGCTGGGTACATGCGAAGGGTCTCATTGAGGATAGCCTGAAGATATTTCATTGCTTTCAAATCTGCAAACGACGGATTCTGGCCAGGCTTGACATGTTCAACAATTTCCTGGCGAAGGCGACGAACCATATCCGGATGGCCTGAAAGCTCATGTAGCACCCATGAAAGAGTGGCTGCCGTTGTGTCTCGACCAGCGAGAAGTACAGCTACAAGTTGATCCCGTATCTGTTTAGCATCTCGTGTGTACAAAGCCAGAGCACTAAGGAACGTGTAGCCGCGATCAGATTTTGTGAGCTTTTCTAGCTCATCGCGCTCGAGGGACACTGTCTCAGAAATAAAAACTTCCATGAACTTGTTAATAGCTTTGAGGCTGGAATGATATGACTTCAACGATACGAATGGCTGGAGAGGTCTGATATACTCATGGTTAGATGATATTCAACGAAGGGGAATGGGTCGAGGAAAGGTAACTTGCCCAGAAACGGTGATGAGACGCTGCACCCTTTGTATCTCTGCGAAAGCTACCGCAAACTTTATTCAAAGAAATCTCGGATCAGCAGAGGTTCGAGACTCATCAGCGCACATTCACGTACTTGTTCTCTGGGGTTATCCAAGCTGTTTATAGCTTGCCCAAACAGAAAGTCCGTGGCTACGTCGAGCGTAAAGCGGAAGAAAAGATCTTTCACATCGACGTCAATAGGTTGACCCTCGGGACCTTGGAGCATTCTAATCAATTTTACTGTGTGCTTCTCAAAGACAGCCAAGTCCTCAATGCGCTGACGCAAAAACAAGGGTTTGATCAACCCTCGGGCATCTTGCCAAAGTCGGCCTGTACAGTTAGGTCAGTAGCCGTCGTCGCAATAGATGCAGTGACCTACCATCGGTCGCAAAGATGGAATCTCCTAAGAATTCCTTCCAGTCGTGATAAAACTTTGGTCCTTTACCATAGTCAGAGAACTTGGTGGCCAAGACAGCTTTGATATTCTCATGATCTGCGGTGAAGATAACACGATCACCACCAAGAACAACCTCAGCAGTATACGGTGCCGTTCCTCGCCCGTAGTGACGGAAGATCATTGACCATAACTTAAGGTCTTGGTTAGTTGAGTTGTAGTATGCGGACCAGATAATAAAGTCAATTCCGAAGGGTAGATACGTGGGAATACGTGGCGCAACAGAAATTGATGGAGGCACCAGAAGTCGATTGAGGATACGACGAGTAAAGTAAATAACAATGATATACAGAGCCAGACGATAGGGATGGTGGATCGCGGCATGAAGCATGTAGATCGAAGAGTCAACAAGTGAAATAACTGTGTTTGACATGATGAGTTTTGAGCAGCGCGGCTGAAAATAGGTGGCTGTTACTGTAATAGGAGTCCTTTGATAATTGAGAGGAACAGAAGCAGGGGAAAAGGGAAGGGAAGTAAGCTGACTTATATAGGAATATGAGTAAGGAGCGGTAAGCTCTCACGTAAAGCACTTTATGGCTTTGCCAGCCAACCATACGAAGCCCACTCACGTTACGGGCTTAATTGAGGATATTTAGAATATTAACAATTACAGAACTCGTAGATATTGACAAATATCAAAAACTCGTATATTCGCTTTAAACCCCATCTCCCAGGATTTTGATCTGTGAAAACCGCGTGTAGGTAAAGTCGTGTAAGTACAGAGGTATTTAGAGCTATCTTCGATCTAATTACTGACTTAGAGGCATGTCTAGGCAGGCGTATGTTTCCAGTTTCCCTTACTTTCACACTCTAGCTGAGCTATTCAATCCAAGTTGGTTCACCTGGTTGACCATAGTGGCCATTGTCTTATCCGACAACACATTGGGTCCTACTTTGTGAATCAAATCCCCAACAAAAGGGAATGCCATATCTGGAATACTGGTCATCCCCATTTTCAAATATGCATTAGCACCCCAATGGCAAGTGAACCAGAACCACATAATCACCCAGGTATAACCCACAAGTCGTTTCCACAACTTGTCAACCTTCTTGGTACCGCCAAGTCTACCGTAGATATTAATAACGATATCTTCAAAGTGAATAGCCATAGCGTTGCCAACAAAACAGGTAAAAACAGAGAAGAAACGATCATTGAAGCTATGGAAGCGATTGGCAGGCATTGTGTAAGTCATTAGACCGTGTGTGATGCCGCTGATAGCGAATGACACATAGAGCTTGAAATAAGAGTTGAAATTTGTTCCAGGTCTCAGGTTTAGGAACCTAGCAAGAAAGTCGCTGTACCCGGCGAAAATCTGGAGAAAAGACCGTTAGTACGGTTCACTCATTACCGGCGCAGGAAACTTACCTTTCTGATGAACTGATGCCAAAAGGAGCCCCAGAACTTGCGCACGCTTGTGGCTTTACTGATGTCTCCAAACGCGGGAGGCCAGTCCTGCATTGGCTGTTAGCATATTTATTACTCTCAACGGCAATCAGCAGGAGAACTCGCCTTTGGCTCACAGATGCCTAATAATACAGAGACGATTGAGGCAAAACAATAGTGCATTTGAATGGGGAAGTACAATTTGGCTCCAGCGCAAAATGCATTAAGAAAAGAACCTGACCATGTGCGGGCTCTGAGATCCATGAAGGCCATATTGATTCCTTCATAGTGGTGATATGTATCAAAATACGTGTAAAGCAAGTCAGAAAGGATGTAGCTCTTTGCCCATTTCCGAAACTGGTATGCCAAGAAGGACCATTTGCTCTCAGGTGCTTTCATTGGGGGAACACCCTTAACTTGGAAATTCCAGCCAATGCCTCGCTGGGTCGCGAGTAGTGACAGGGCCCAACGGAATTTTGCAAAACTAAAGGACATGGCCATAGCCTCTTGACGAGGCTTATCATTACGCCAATAGTCTTTTTCTGGAACTCCAAAGAGAAGTTTCTCCAAGGTCCCGAGAGCAACAGTCCAGTGGGCACCAGCAAGTGCGCGTCCTGCGGCTGTATTGGCAAAGTGTGTGGTGTATGTGGCGCCCAGGAGGCCAGCAATGATAGGGACAAAAATGTGTTTCCGCAGTTTGAACGGTGGTAAGGTCAATGCCAGAAGTTGACTTAGGGGTAGTAAGAGATGAGGGAGAAAAGTCCCGTTGATGGGATTGATGATGTCTTTGCTATCCATGGCGAATGTTGAAAGGCAGATGGACAAGTTGAAGTATAGTAATATGTCTTCGTGTGAGTATAGATAAGGCAGATAGAAGTTGAGCCACTATATAGTATAGTTCGAGCCTTTATGCTTGCTCTTGGGAAAGGTGAAGGGAAAAGGAGTCCTATAAGGTGCGGCGAGGACAGATGTAAAGCCCAAACTTGATCTGGACGCTTCAACAAACTTTGGAGAGCGGGGGAATCTCTAGACCCCGTAAACTCGAAGATTGTTTAGTTACTGGCCACACCAAGCAACCATCACTGTCCCCCTTCAGCAGGATCAACGTGCCTAGTCACCGGTGAGGAGATGGACGTCCGACGCCCGCAATACAGCAGATCATCACATACCAAGTACCAAGTTGAGGGAGGTGTTGGATGCCTTGGTGTCTTACAGAAGTTCCACCAGGTGCTGATGCGTTTCGCTGTAACTGCACGAGTATCGGTGTAAATCGCGTCTGATATGAGGACGGCAGTCTTGATTGTAAGCGAGTTGTCATATCTCTATGGATAGTAAATGAAAGTGACTGATCACTTAGATAAGTTACCGGCAGCTGTTGTAAGCAGGCAGCTCGACAACTAGTTATCTCACGAATTCGATCCAAGGAGTGTCTGTATGACAGATACTGCGCCCCATACATAAATTTATCTTACCCTATGGGGTTCCTAACTACCTACACAGGAAGGTAGGTCGTTATCAGTCTACCCAGACATGTCTCAGCTAGTGAATGGATGAGAATAGATTGCAGTGTTGCACTACGCTCGGGCGGCAACACTAGCTCCTCCAACCGTGGTCAGACTGCATGGGGGTGATAAGCTAAGACCGTATCTTATACGCGAATTCTGCAAAGTATAATTCGGCCCTTCACTCTAAGTTTCTATTGCTTCAGTTGACATGCAACTGTGACGTTATTAGATCGGTCCTCTGACTGGCCAGCTTTCCCCCCCTAACAATTGCCGAGCCTCCGTCGATCTATGCACCTAGCCCCTAGTCCATCCTTTGATTCCGAGGTGGATGCACCATCATGCAAAGTGTAAGCGCAAAATGTCCTTCCGTAGGATCATGGACCATTATCCCGACCAAGCAATGGGTCCGAGGAAATTGTCAATAAACATTGTTCTGATACGTCACTAGAGGGAGGAATACGCTCGAGCCGGGCTGACGTGAGAAACGCCATCATCCGACCGGTTTGTTTTTCGAACCTCAACAGACCGCAACGCTCACGCATTCATGCTAGAAAGACGCATTTTCTAGACTCTCATCTCATTTTTCTTGTAGAGGGATAGTCATACCGTCTCAGTCTATCTGTGAATCACAAAATGTTCTCTTGCCACTGTAATCAAGCAGAACACAAATAGGAGTAAATAAAGTTTTAGAGATAGTCATATAGCAAGCTCATGATTGGCTCTTAGATCAAATTTCTATTTGACATGGTAATTGGGTCTGACTATCCATCGAGTACATTATAACGGCTTGATGAGCTACCAGCATAATGATTCACACAAACCAATGTTGCTGACGCCATGGACAGGCATCTATTCATACAGTTCGTGCCTTCAACTTAGCCGTGACTCTCAAGTTACTCGTAGGCCGTGCGATAGCACGATCGGTCATTACCATAGCCTCGTCACTACCAGGACATAGCTCAATATCATATGTCGTGAAAATGTTGGCAAGAATTAGATGCATCTCCGTAAACGCAAGGCTAAATATATCAGCTTTTATGTCATCAGGCCTCAGATAGTGATACTTACTTTTTCCCGATGCAGTCCCGAGTACCCTTAGAAAATGAGACAAGCCAGTGATCTAATCCTCCGTCCTCAAGCCAACGTTCAGGCTTGAACTCCTGGGGAGAATTAAATAAATCTGGATCCATATGAATCATAAGGTGACTCATTCCGACGACTGAACCAGCAGGGATGGTCTTGCCAGCAGAAGGCACAGTTAAACCACCGTGAGGGACAACCCGGGTCAATCGACCGGGAATGCCATGAGAAAAGCGAAGCGTCTCTTTGATGAAGCCCACCTACATATAAATTAGTTTGTTATGAAATTGTGAAAGGGTAATTAAAACTCACAAAATATGGCTGCGCTTCAATCTGCTGAATCGGCATGCGTCCATTCTTATCCAGTTTGATACTATTCAACTCGGCCATGATACGAGACTGTACATGTGGATATTTGTGAAAGTAATAAGTGGCATATGTGATTGTAGTGGCTGTCGTCTCAAGGCCGGCAATTAGTAGTGAGACGCCTTCATCAGTTAGTTCCTTAAGACCAAATTTCGACTTGATGCCTCTTTCTTTCTCGCTCTTTTGATTGGCATCAAGGAGACGGTCAAATATTGTCTCATCTTTTGCTGACTTTGGCTCACGACTCTCCATGTGGTGATTCGTTATGGCCTGAGATGCTTCAGCTTCGGTGAACTATGAGTTTGGATTAGTATGGATACCGCCATTCGAGCTAGTTACTCACGTCAATTATTCCCACCCAAGACTCGTTCATCATCCTAACAAGCCATTGAGGCATATTCATCATCAAGTTACGAATGGCACCAAAATGAATGGAAATCCAAACTCCTTTGGTAAAGCCACGGATCTCCTCGATTTTATCTGTAGCAAAGTCTGGCATCTCAATCAAATTGAGACACTTTCCAAAAATGACTCTTGAGATGATATCTCCCTAAGATACTGTCAGTGTGGTTGAAGGAAAAGCTGGAATTAGACCGGTCCTTACAGCATAGCAGTAATAAGCCTCCTGGATTGGAATGACTCTTCCTTGGTTCACAAACTCGGTGATCCTCTCAAATACTCTGTCAAGTTCCTCGTACATGAGATCTTCCAGCATGTTAATACGGCGCTTGGAGAAAGATGGGTTGAGCATCTCGCGCCTCTGGCGGTGAACATTGGGGTCCAGCAACACGTTAATAGCAGTTGGCACGCCAAATGAGTAGGCAAAGGGGTCCTTTGTGAACTTTGTCTTCTGGCCGTAGATTCTACGCCGCGAGGTTAATAGAAAGGTTAGATATGTGTGAGTCTCTGATACTCACTCATGAAAGACTTGAGGATCTTTGATGTGTACCTCGTTGGGGTTGATTCTCACGATAGGACCTATACTCCTGTTAGAATCGATTTTGTGCGAGTCAACCTCTCAGAGGGTTGAATCTCACCATATTTTTCATGAAGACCTGGAAGCCTCTCTAGCATCTTCCCTCCCCTGATAGCTTCAAAATACATCTGATAATGCCATGAGATACGGCAGAGAAAAGGCCCCGGAAAGGGAGCCAGAGGATGAAAGATCAATCGGTAAATGACCAGGAATGACATGTACAGGAGTGACAAGCCAGTGTAGGCAACAACCAAAGCCACCAAACGGCCTTGGAAAGTCTCGGGCAGAGGGCCCAAGACGTCAGTGATGGTGTTCAGAATGGCCATTGTTTTGTTGCTAGTGGGCGATATCAAGTGGTATGTGCTAAGCTTTGGGATGGAGTTTGGGAAAGTGAAGAAGCTTGGTATGATGAATACTGTATCTTGGGACTGGGCAATGATTGACCACCTAGAATTGATAGAAGTCGTTCAAGACCCATGCTGATACGTACTATCTGTTGACTAAGCGTGGTGAGGCGGGGAACTGTTGATTCCGTGGTATTTAGATCGGTGTAAGCTTATTTTGGTATTTTCGCGGGGAAAATGGGTCACCTTGTGTCTGTCACACTTGCATACCTAGCATAGGATGGTGCCTAGGTTGCGAGTAAGCACTAAGGAACGGGCCGGAAAGACCGGCTCTTTTATCAGATCACATGTAACACCCCCTAATATGCGATGTGTTAATATGCATAAGACACCCCCACGTACATGCACATGCACATGCAGTTACAACCAAGAACCAACAACCACCGCGGTCGCTTAAATTTACCCCGCCATCCATCTTCGCGAAATCACTCCGTTAACGACTTTCACTGCCTCATCAACGTCACTCTTCATCCTTCAACAAAGTTCCTGCAAGTAAACCTCTCAATTCATTCGCCTCCATACGCCGGCAATGTCTTCGTTCGCTGCAAATCTGACATTGTACCCCCCGCCTCTGATTGATGCTGCGACCGCCCCCATTGAAAATCCCCTACTGGTGACGCGTGTCGAGGGAGATATCTTCACCAACACTCAGTACGTGCTTAGCATATGCGCTTGATAATACACCTAGCTAATGCTGCAGCGCTTACTTAGCCCTCTATGGAAACCACCTCGAGGCCGGACTGTGTTTGGTGGAATCTTGATTGGTCAAGCCATTCAAGCGGCTCATCAAACAGTCGCCCCCGATTTCTTTGTCCACCACATGCATTGTTCCTTCCATGCACCCCCAGACGCTGATAAGCCGATCTACATCAGCGTCTCACGGACTGCCGATGGCAGGTCATCTGCTTCGAGAGACGTCAAAATCACACAAAACGAGACGATCTTCTTTTCAGCTCAATGCACTTTCTCGCGAAGTGGGCGAGTAAACCCTGCCGTACACCAGTCTAGCCCATCTGAGTTGGGGGCCATCCCTCCGGATCCCGTATTATCCCAGTCAGACAAGATGGCCTTCTCTCAAGAGATGGTAAGTCTAATCACTTCCTTGTTCCGGCAGGTCATGCTGTTGTGAATTGGCCAATTGCTCAAACTCTATTCAGGCTCGGTCAGGGTTCCTTACTTTCAAAGGGCCAAGCACAAGTCGGCCAGATGTTGATCCATTCTTATGGCATGATGTAGCATCGATAGAGGATCCGATATCTACTTCGTCTACAAACACAATCCACTCATGGACGAGATCTTACGGAAACATGACCGACTCCCGAATAAGCCACTTGGCTGTACTTGGCTGCCTCACAGATTCCTGGGCTCTCACCAGTCTTTCACTCATGAACCCCACCGCAGTGGGGGAGAATGGAAGGAATATCACCTCCATAGCTACATTGAATCACACAATTTGGCTTCATGATCCTTGCCTGCGTCTCGACGATTGGTTACTCCTCAAGAGGGGTAGTACATGGGCAGCAGAAGGAAGATGTTTGGTTGAGCAGCAGATCTGGGATAAGCACGGAAAGCTTGTGGCTACATGTGTCCAAGAGGGAGTTTTGAGGTTGAAACAGCCTGAAAGTGGGCGAGTTGGATCAACCAGCAGTAAAATCTAAGATGTCGATTATCGTCAATGCTACCTGGTGCCATCTTTGCAGGGTTGAGGATAACAAAAACTTCTCTATAAATTTAGGTAAAGCTTAAGTAGTTCATACTGAACCATACCCTATAACAGAGCTAAAGTGTGTCTATCATTCTGAATCCAACCTGTCAGAATACGTAATTGGCTCCTTGTCCTCATTCCAGGCTAAGCCAAGAATTTAGTTAACGTCGGAGAAAAGGGAACTAGTCTGCTAGTCTACCTATCAGACGTGGTACAGATTTACAAAACATTCATTACATTTCGAAAGGTGAAATAACCTGCTATATATCTCTGCTAAGCGAATTAGTAATTTATTAATCTGCCTTAGATAAATAACTAACGTGTTTAATAAGTATATAACCTAGATAAGTATATAACCTAAAAGTCTTAACCTTTTAGCTTAATATCTTAATAAAAATACTATAAACTATCTAATTAATTAAAATCACTTACTATACTTATCTTTAAATAACTCTAGAACTACCTAATAGGTCTTTAAATTATACCTAGCCGTACTATATATACTATAACGCTAAATACCTAGTCTAACTAACCTTCCTTAATTACTACTCCTTAATAATTCCGTAACTACCTATATATTAATATCTATTTAATTAATTATTTATAATACTTTTAATATAGTTATAATTCCTCCTTTTTATTATCTTATTCTTTTTAACTTTTAATGCTAGCTTAGTATATTATTTCTCTCTTAAAGATTTTAGGTTTTATTTTTTATTAAGGTAGTTTTATATATATTTTTTTTAACTACCTTAATAAAAAAATAAAAAGCTTTAATAATTAAATTTAAGGAATTACTATAACACCTTTTTATTTAACCTTTAAGGTATTTAATTTAAGATTAGGCCTTATTTATTATTATTAAGGTCTTTAAAGTCTAAGGGGAAGAAGGTTTAGTTACCTTTTTAAGAAGTATTAAAGTCTATAATTATATATTAAGCTTTAAGATTATATTTTTTAGGTTTAAAGAAATAAGCCTAGCTCCTTTAAAACTACCTAAGATATTACTTTTTATAAAAGAAGCTTTAAATATAATATAAAAAATAAAAAAGAACTTAGTCTTTAAGATATAGGTTATATAATATCTAATTAAATACTTTATTTCTTAATTATATACCTTTTTTAATATTATAAAGTACTTAATATTAAGAGGTTAAAGTAAATAAAATATATAAGCCGGTATATAAAGTATAATAATTTTATATTTCTTATAGTATTTCTTAAAATTAATAAAGTAATAGCTTTTATAATTATTAAAGATAAGAAAATAATAGGTATTAACTAATCGGTTAAATATACTTTAATTAAAGTACTTTAATTACTTAAGGCCTAGCTTATTATCTATCTATCTATTTTTACTTATTATAATAACCTAATTACCTAGGAGGTTATATTTTTAATATTAATTTATAAGGTAATATTAATCTATATTAATAATAAATAGCATAATTAATTAACCTTTTATATTAATTACCTAGATTATAGTAATCTATTTTTAATTTCTAGGCTATATTAATTTAGGTTTTCCTTACCTTTTTAAACTAATAATAACTATTCTGGCTATTATAATACCTATTATAAAGCCGGTTTTATTAAAGTTCTAGATATTATTTAATTTAATACCGTATTTTATAATTATATTTTATATAAGCCTAAACTAGCTATAAATAATAATTAGATCTTTATATTTAGCCTTTTAATAATTATATTTCTAAAATAAATATATCTTTAGCTCTAGTTATTACTTAATAAAGTTATAAGCCTAGCGCTTATTAATAGGTAATATATTACGGTCTATAAATAAAGAATTAGTTATTTTTTCTATAAAATATAATTATAAAGAAAATCCTTAAGAATTTAGGTTAAAAATAAATTAGACTATTATTTATTCCTTTAGATTAAATAGTTTTTATAACTTTAGGATAAAATTATATTATAATTAAAGGCTATTTTAATAATACTATAATATACGGTAGTTAACTTTATATATTATTACGGCTTGTTAGGTACTTAATTTTAGGTTATTTTAAAGGGCCTGAAAGGCAAGAAGGATTCTAGCTTTATTTAATAATTAAGGTATACTTAGTTATTAAGAAGTATTTAATTAATTAGAAATATTATAGGTTAAGGGATTTTTAGGTTATATACTTATCTAGGTTATATGCTTATTAAACATATTATACTTTTTCCTTTTTTTAATTTAAACTTTAACTTTATTAAGCCTAGACTTTCTGATTCTTTTTATAATATTAATAATCAAAATAACCCCTTCTAAGGTCAAAACTTAATATAATCAAGGCAGTAAAAGTCACACACGGTAACTAAACTCTATCTAAGTAAACACGTAGATAACTCACACAGTCGTAGAATAAATGACTATACGTTTGTCGCATCTGCATTGTAAGCACGGCAATTACCCATCATGCTTTATCAGCAAGCTTGTATATCATGCATGACACGCCCTTTCAATAAGTTTAGATAGCCCGTTCGAATTCCATTGTTCACGAATGCATGTCTTATCGCCGTGTATAGCAGCTCGGGTGGCTGCACATCTGATTAGTTGTTATATACGCCGTAGTCTTAGGATCATGCAACCGAATCCTTCTCAGTTCCTAATGAACTGTTGACATCAAATCGATTGAAAAGGTGCGCTACAAGGTTACGTCGGTACAGCTCCAACAATCCTTCGGATCTGTTGCCGGTCCTGGCTGCATATAGACCGTATCGCATCCCTGTTATCATACTGACATTTCGATCAACGGCTTTGTTGCATAAGCGTTGTCACGATACCCCATAAGCGAAAGTGTGTGATCTGCAGACAGGCTAGCCAGGGTTGTTTACGGTCTGACAGGGATAATCTGGGGTGATCCATGGAGGGTCTAAGCGAAGCGTGGGGCTACTCTACCCTGGGGTTATCTGAGAACTACTACCTACCACGTGAAAACTTTACTCATCCTATCTCATGCAGAGCAGGCGACTAGAAGATGCACATAAGAGAGACAGTGTTTGTGGGGTCTGTAAGCAATGCATGCGATGAATGATTGTGAACTGCATGTTTGTTATTTCGGGTTTTGTGATGATATCTTGGCGTGAAATGACGAAGCTAAATTGAAAAGTAAGGCAGGCATTTGTTGTGGTGAAATCTCCCCCCTTCTATGTCATTCACTCAAGCTTTCTCAAATTCCCTGTTCTTTGACGCAATCACACTCACACTTTTGTTCACAGAGAAGCAACATGTGGTTCAAAACTACAGTGCTGGCTATTGGCATTGCATGGAGCCTGGCGGGAAGCAAGACAAGCTCCCGCCCAAGGGTGACCGTCAAGAACGGTACATACGAGGGCATCTACTCTCCTGAATACCACCAAGACTTCTTTCTTGGGCTTCCTTATGCCCAGCCTCCTGTTGGCGACCTCCGCTTCCGCGTTCCTAGGCCTCTGAACAGTTCTTTCCAGAGTGTCCATGACGCAAAAGTCTACCCGGCGGCATGTGTCGGCTATGGTGGCGATGCAATGTTTTACAATGAATTATCTGAAGACTGTTTGTATCTCAACATCATCCGCCCAGCTGGCTACCAAGGTGAGAAACTCCCCGTGGCATTTTGGATGCACGGAGGCGGTTTCTTCCAAGGAGCCACGCAGGACAAGAGATACAATCTCAGTTTCATAGTCCAGCAATCCGTTGAGATTGGACAACCCATCATTGGCGTTTCAGTTCAGTACCGACTCAGTGCTTGGGGCTTCCTCTTAGGCAAGGAGGTCCAAGCCAGCGGTCAGACAAATCTGGGACTACGCGACCAGCGGTTGGCGATGCACTGGATTCAAGAGAATATTGCCTTGTTTGGAGGAGATCCACGCAAAGTCACAATATGGGGTGAAAGTGCTGGCGCTTCGTCTGTAGGCAACCACATTCTTGCCTATAACGGACGCGATGATGGACTCTTCCGCGCTGGAATCATGCAAAGTGGTGGTCCGATATTTTACTACCCCATGACGGCGGTGCAAAAGTATTTTGACTCGCTTGCCAAGTTGGCTGGCTGTGATGAAAACCTAGACAAGCTGCAATGTCTGCGTGCCTTGCCATTCTCACAGCTCAACGCTGCAGTCAATTCAAGCGAAGACCTCACTCAGAGGTGGCATCCAGTGGTGGACGGATCATTTATCCCTGACAGACCGACTGAGATGCTTGTAAATGGTTCATTCCTCAAAGTGCCTATCATCGTTGGAGCCAATTCAGATGAAGGATCCATCTTCAGCCCAAGGTTGATTGACACAGAAGAGGACTTTTACATGCACCTGATCCACAATACTTCCTTCTCTCATCGCACGGGAAAGCTTCTTGAGTCTCCTTTCTTCGCTGCAAAAGTCCCCATCGACTTTGCTAAGCAGGTCCTTGAGGTGTACCCAGATATTCCTGAACTTGGCATCCCTGGAGTCCCAACTTTGGCCTTCAATCAACGGCCTGAACCACGTTTCGGGAATCAGTTTAGACGTTCGTCTGCATATTACGGCGATGCCATCTTCGTCGGCCCACGTCGTCGTACATGCGAGACCTGGGCCGAAGCTGGTTTACCCGCCTGGTGCTACCGCTTCAATGCGGTTCCAGCCGGAGTGCCGCCCGAGATTGGCTCAACGCACTTCCAAGAGATTGCGTTCATCAAACAAAATCGTGTGGGCGGTGGCCAAGGCTACTACATGCCACCAGTTCCGCCGTTCAAAGGCAAACCAGACAGCTACACGCAGTTATCCAAGCTTATGGGCATGACATGGATAAGCTTCGTGCGAGAGATGGATCCCAATCATTGGCGCAAAGTCAAAAAGTCTCGGGCGCTGGAGCTGCCAGATTCTCCAAAATGGCCAACCTATCAGCAGGGATCTTTGGAGATTGTATGGGATCCTCGCGTGGATGGTTTGGCTTATGTGGAAACGGACACTTATCGGGCGGCGGCGATCGAT